AATACTAATTAATAACCAAGAAATCAAATGTATAAATTAAAGAAGTAAGTTGAATCAAACCAGTGCTTAAGCAAGTCTTGACCTCGAGCTATGATGACCTCGAGGTAGGTCAACAAGGACAGTAAAGTAAAGACAATAAAGTTAAGAGACAATTCTGATGAGTAATGAGCAAGAAAGTAAGAGAGTATATTCTTATGCCAATGATTGATGATGGTTACAAATGATTGGTATCCCCTTTATATAGTGGGGGAACCCTAAATAAGGTACATTTCTATTTACAGTAAGGAATATTATTGGGACAGGTGTCTAACCGCCTAGTACAAATCTGTACTAACTCGTACAAATCTATTCAGGAATTTACGCCATGATCTTGGGGCCATCGCGGGTATCTCGCTCTTTCTGTTATAAAACCATAACGGTATTGTCTCGAGGTTGGCCATACTCGGCTCCGATGTTCCTCTAGCACTTAGATCTTCGAGTCTCGTATTCTGCCTTCGAGCTCGAGCTCGGTCCATATTGAACTTTTTCTCGATACGACCCCTTGAGCCAACAAAATCGGGGACACATGATTTTGACCGTATACAGACCCGTTTTTAAAAAGTTTATTATCCAACCCATTTTTAATGGATAATATGAGTGGTTAACTGTTTTTTTTAACCATTTTGCCACCACTAGTTGTCACTAAAGTTCAACAAAAAATGTTGCATAAATATGACACTTTTTTAGGATGGTCTTTAATTTTTGACCTCACACTTGTCTCATGGATAGAACTTTAAGGTCAAAAGTTAAAACTGCTACAGAATGGACAAGTGAGGAGCAAAACTAATGAACTTGAAGTTCTGGCATGAGGCAAGTGGCGATAAAAATTCAAGATCATCCACTTTGAGGGCTTATAGTGGTTATAACACAGGCTACAAGTAAAATATTTTGGAAAAACTGGCCTCTCGATTAAATTTTTATTATTTTGACAGATTAGAAGGCCCGTCTGAGTTATGAAATGGGACCAGGGCCCAAATTTTAACAATTTTTCCCAGGCCCAGTTGAGGAACGGCGATAACATCTTATACCCTAAACTCAATTCTATATAAGTGAGTGTGTTTTGCATTCAGTAGGGTTTGTTCCTCCGGTCGCCGTCTGAAGAAAATGGTAAGCTTCAGCCATGGTTACACAACCATTCTTCTTCATTTTGCAATAGTTATTGATTTTTTTTCTTTGCGGGAAGTGTAGGCTCCAAAGAAGGGTGTAGCAGTAGCATCAAAGAAGAAACCAGCTCAGGCGAAGGTGGTGAATCCACTGTTCGAGAAGCGGCCCAAGCAGTTCGGAATCGGTGGTGCGTTGCCACCAAAGAAGGATCTGACTAGGTTCGTGAAATGGCCTCAGGTGGTTCGTATCCAAAGGAAGAGGAGGATTCTCAAGCAGAGGTTGAAGGTCCCTCCTGCTCTCAACCAGTTCTCCAAAACCCTGGACAAAAACCTCGGTCAGTGTCACTATGCTTTATAACCTAATTTCCTATATTTTTGAAGTGTTTTGCTAATAAGTGCTGTATTTCGTGAACAATTAGTTAAATTTTTTTTATTACCTGTCCACTCTATTTGTAGGTGTTCCTCTTGATAATCAATTAGTGTTGAAATAAAGATCACTTTTTGCCTATGTAACTGGCCTCTATATTCATTACGCTCGATTTTGGTTCATTTCGTTCTAGCACTTGTCTTTCGTCGAGCTCTTTTTGCACATAAAAAGTAACTATGAGCTGTTAGCTTTATTCTCCCTCTGTGTGTGTGTGTATGTGTTTATGGATACATTTCCAGTCTTAATGTCTTAAATGCTGCATGTTTTCAGTTTGAACTTTCACCCGAAGTGGTGGCATAATTGGCAAAGAGGAATTATGATAAATTGAGTGTTTTTTTGCACTATAATATGTTTCCATATAGGTTTGAGCTAGCCTCATTGTAAAAGACAGTTGAATGAGTGGGTGTTTGTTCTTGGCTTATGGATTCTTATGATTCCGATAATGTATCTTCTCTCAAAGAGAGTTCACAAACCCCTCAACTTTTGCTATGTGAGCAAAATGGAGAACACCTCTAGGCCTCACACCTGACAACTATTAGCTTATTATTGTTTGGTAACCAAGTAGCTGAATGAGCTACTATTGCCTCCATCTGGAATACTTTTAAAAACTTCTTTTTGAGAAGGAGAATCAGTTTAGACATTACCATAATATTTTGTTGGAATTCCTCATCGGATAGTGCATATTGCGTATTCTTAGGTCTACACCCTGTGGATGTTGTTTCTTTTGTAAAATGTTAGATTTGACTTTTATCACTTCAAAAAGAGTTAATTGTCATGAACTTGTAACTTTTGTTTTCAGCATGTTGAACTTTGCTTTCGAGCAACTACTTATTTTCTGGCAGAAACGTTTTCCGGAATATCTTCCGTTATTACCAAATATACCTTTTTGTAATCGTTCTTCCGTTATTACCAAATATACATTTTTGTAATCATTCTTACAAGGCTAAGCTGTGACATAATACTTGGTCATTATGTGTCTTGCCACTTTTCTAGTATGCCACAATGGAGAATATTATTCATCAGCTCTCTACTCAACCTTTTGTATTGTTTTACTTGCAATGAGGTATTTTATTTCATTGAGACTGAATTGAATTATCTTTATTGCATTTGTCCATTGAATATGCAGCGACAAACCTGTTCAAGATGCTTCTCAAGTACAGGCCCGAGGACAAAGCTGCAAAGAAGGAGCGTCTTGTGAAAAGGGCTCAAGCTGAATCTGAAGGAAAAACTCCTGAAACGAAGAAACCCATCATCGTGAAGTATGGTCTTAAGCACATCACATACCTTATTGAGCAGGTTTGTTCTTGTCTTGCAAAGATTCTTTATCTTGCTCATCTTTTTTTTTTTCCTTTAAAGTAAGCTATTTCCCCTTGATATGCTTGCAGAACAAAGCACAACTGGTAGTGATTGCTCATGATGTGGACCCAATTGAGTTAGTTGTCTGGCTTCCTGCTCTATGCAGAAAGATGGAAATTCCTTACTGCATTGTGAAGGGGAAAGCACGTTTAGGATCGGTGAGCAATCTAAGTATCTTTGTAATCTTAATAATGCTTCATGACATACTGGTCAGATGCAAGCTAACAGTGGAATTTACTGTAAAATTGTCTTCATAATCCTCTGTAATTTCGTGTCCAACTTCTTTTTTCTTGAAATTGCTGGTTTTTATTATTTTGAAGGAATTTAAACCTGGGCTTTGGATTGCAAAATAGGGGAGAGCTTATGAATAATAGCTCTGAAATACTTGCAGGTTTTCTGTGGGGTGCCCTACAAATCTAAAAGCCTTAAACAGCAAATGTAAAAATGGCATCATAGTACGGATTTGTTGCAGTTCTAAGTGGATATTTTTATGCTTCTGAAAAGTAATTTTTGTTCTCTTTTTGGAGCCAATTTTTGCTTTTCTAGAAGCTAAACCCACTTCTGACTCTTTCGTTCACAAATTCGCCTCCAAGCGCCATTACATTTTTGTTTACGAACCAAAAATAATGCATTAGATACTGATACTTATGCATTGTATACAGATTGTGCATAAGAAAACTGCTTCAGCTCTGTGTTTGACAACAGTGAAGAATGAAGATAAAATGGAGTTCAGCAGAATTTTGGAGGCAATTAAGGTATCTCTATTTAGATATAACTAGTTTGGTTTGCTTTTTGCCCTAAAGTTATTCCAAGGATATCTCTTGATACTTGTTTGCATTTCCAGGCTAACTTCAATGACAAGTATGAGGAGAACAGGAAGAAGTGGGGTGGTGGCGTCATGGGTTCTAAATCACAGGCCAGGACCAAAGCGAAAGAGAGGGTTCTTGCCAAGGAAGCTGCCCAGAGAATGAACTAAGAGCTTGCTGTGATATAAACTGCTTGGATTAGAGAGTTTCTCGGCCAAATTTTGTGTTTGGTTCACATGCTTGACAATGTTAGAGATATTAGTTTTGATAAGTTTCTTTGTGTTTGCCTTCTTTTGCAGATTATTGATCTGTGGAAGAAACTTTAAATTGTATCAGAAGTTTTTGTTAGATATTTTGTTGAATTGGGTTTTTATGATAGCGAGATGGGAAGTCAATCAATTAACTACACTTTTATTGCTTAGATATCACTTTGCTTATTGCTAAGTGGAGAATCTACTCATGGACGATTGATTGATAATATGGTGCCAATTTTTTTCTGCAATCTCTTAAAATTATATAGAGAGTGGGATGGTGTTCTTACTGTGACAACAAATCAATTTTGACAGAAGTGTACTGAAATGTAATTTGCGAGCATAGACATGCTAAAAGTCCTTAAATGGCGGTAAAGGGTGTAAACTTTAAAATGTTCTCATCACCCTATTCCACTTTTCACAGTTTTCAGTATGACTTTTCTTAGTCCCCTCTCGAAAAACCTTTTACCATTAAAAGATTTCAATTTTTCTACTTTAATTCATCATTTGAAATGTTGGAATATCTAAAAATAGGGGTAAAACAAGGGTCAGCAAAATCTGGTGGAACGTAAATTTGTTGGCTAGGTAGGAGTGAATATTAGATTTAGAAGTTGGTAGTTTGAAACTTTGAAATTAAGAGGATTCAAGAAACAGGGATGTGCAATTGTCCATTCGGCTCGGCGATTTAGGATTTTCCACAACTCTACAAGCTAGAATCATAGAGATTATTGAATTTAATAGGTGAGGAGTCGTAAATTAGCTCAGAGAGCTACTTTAGATGAGGTACATCGTGCCCCTATGCAATGTTAAATTTAAAAAAAATAATTTTTTAAAATATTTTATATATAAAAGATAGATCTCTTACCTATAAAAATTAATTTTTTATGTGTAAAAAAAAGTGATGGCGTCGTAAAACTAAAAATAAATTTTATAAAGAGCCAAAAAATCAATTCATCTTGCCTGTATAAGATTTTCTTCGTCTGTCACTTTCTTCTTACCGTCCATTCATTCTCATCCAAAAAAACAAAAAAGTGATATTTTAAATACTCGTCTTCGTAACCAAGGCCAATACGACGTCGTTTGGTCCCTTTTTTGATTCCTTGGACATCCCTCCCTCTGCTCAATCATGAACCTCAATTCCCATCAGTAGAAGTAAAGACTTTTGTGAAGCTATTGATGGCGTGCACCTCTATTTAATTCTCTTCGAAACGCTCAAAATTCCCTGAAGATAAGAATATCACCAATTTAAAATCCAGGCTAAGTTATTAATTTAATTTCTATTTCATTTTTCAACAAAACGTGCATGATCCACCAACCCACTGAGCTGAAATTCATTCCTCGGTTACCCATAAATCAATTATTTTACTTCTTATAACTGTATTTGTGGATTTGGGTTCTTGTTAAAGTCCGATAATTGAAAGCTGAAAGCGAAGAAAAAGAGAGGACACAAGATGATGAATCAGATTGGAGGGAGAATTTGTTCCTGGACTCGGACGAAGATCGTTGATCCTCTTTTCCAAATCCTCCAAAGGTAGCTATATTTACCCTTTTACCCTTCTTTTTGTTAGAGCATGTAAAAATATGTACGTGTGAAATGAAATGCTTATTCCAGCAGAAAAAATGCATACATAATTGAGTTTTTGGAGTTTTTGAAGTCAGTATCTGAATACTAATATTCAGTTACTAATATTTTCTTAATGGAAAGATCACAAAGTAAGAAGCTTTACTGATATGCACAATGAATGGTTTTCTTGATTTGTTTCAAGGGGAGTAGAGCCGAAGCAATTGGCATTCTCTGCGGCTCTTGGAATTACATTGGGGGTATTTCCCATTTGTGGTACGTTCTGTTAAGCTGCAATTAGTTCTTATTATCCTTGTTTTATGTAAATTTCTGTCCGTATGATAGCATTCCGTGTTTACTTCCTTAAGCTTGTGGTGTATTCTCTGGCAATGCGTTTTAAATTCATCGACTCCTAGGAGGTAATTTCATGGCAAATAGAAGGTTATCTTTAACTGTAATTCAATTCTTTTCTTAATGTGTTGAGAAAAGTCGGAGTATTGAATTGCAAGGGGATGATAGTGGTAAAAGGATTAGTAATAAGATGGATCGGCGAAGTTTCTTTTACTGAATTGGAAAAGGATTTGACCGCGCAATATCAAAATGCTTATGAAATTCTATACATTAATTAAGATGCTAATGAAATGATTTAAGTAGGAATTTTGGGATGCAGAAATGGATCTATCGATTGGAGAAGAAAAAATTATGTGCTTGTACATATTACAGCTTATAGAACTTCTACACAGAGATTTGGAATTAATGGTCCTGTGAATTGGTCAGCAATTGATTAATTACCAATAAAATCAGTTTAGGAGCTTCACCCCATAAGCATACGTTTGATTATCTTCCTTCAGAGAGTTTTTATTCAACATGTTGTGGAACTATTATTCCTGTCTGGAATAAGCAAAGCTAACTTCCATACTTATTCCTTTGGTACCACATTGGTTCACTGTATATCATCATCTAAGAAGCTTATTTGTAAATTCATCATTTTACTTTTTCATGATTATAGGATGAAAAATTACGTCATCAATTGATGGAAATGTCTAGGTTTTCTTTTTTAAAGAAGTTAACACAAATATGTATTAAGAAAGGCAAAGCTGTTCAATATCTTACTCTGTGTGTGTATGATGATGAAGATGAGGCAATAATTAACAGACTACTTGTTAGTCGATCCTGTTAATTTCCAGTTTAATTTTTTCGTCACTGGCTAGAAATAATTGAGTGAACTGACTTCTGCCTTGATAAAATTATTGAATTTCGCTAAATCAAATGTTTTTCTCAACAGGTGTCACTGTGTTCCTATGTGCGATCGCTATTGCATTATTTGGATCCTTTTGTAATGCTCCAACTGTGTTGTTGGCTAACTTCATTGCTACTCCAATTGAGTTGAGGTGCTTAACAGTGGTTCTTTATTAGATCAATTTCTTTATTCTTTTGCTATCGCTACAACTTTGTTTCTTCTCCCCAAAGACCATCCTCCCTGCGCCTTACCTGGTCCAAGATCTCTCTGATGGCTAGACATCTATGCTATGAAATAGAGGATTTGTTTAATATCTATTTCTGCAATAAAGTGTTGCACATGCTTCTTGTCACCAATCTTTATGCTAGGATCCCTAGAACAAATTCTGTGGGTTGTGAGAAACAGGGAACAAAATGAGGATGTGGCATCATGTTATGCTTTTGGTGATTAGCATCTATTTTATGCTTTTTTAAATCTATGATCCTGCAGGAGTTAAAGTTTCTTCAATTGCAGAAGGCCCACATTTGGACGTAGTATATGTGGATATCTGTTTCCTGTTTATTGTTAAGCTGTGACAAAAAGAAACTCCCTCTCTCTCTCTCTATATTTATGTATGTGTGTGTGTTTGTGTGAGGATTCTTATGTTCAAACTGTTTTGTGAGTAAGCTTCAAATATTTGTGATTTCGTTTCATTTGCAGTCCCATGATTTGCAATAGTACAACTTTGTCTATGCATGTAAATGTCCTCCTCCGTGCTTCAGGAATCATTGCGTATTTTCCGCTTTGATATAGTACTTGACATGTAAATGAAGAGAAAAAAATTAAATAGGTAATGAAGAAGCTATGCCTCTGGTGAAAGATGTGCAACCAAACAGAACACTTATGATATTGAGGATTCATACCGTCGCCACCAACTAGCTTGGAATTGGGGCGTTGTTGTTGTTGTTGTTATTGTTGGGGTATTGACTGTTGGGCATGAATTTCCTGCATCATTACATTTTAGGGTTAGCACTAATTTGTTGTTCCCAAGGGTTTAATGTGATATTTTCTTCGACGGTAAGCTGTGATCCACTACTCTTTAATTTAAGCTATATTTCATCAGGTTTTCCATTGTCTCAGCAAACTTATGATTTCATTTACATCTTTTCTTTAGTACTTAACCTGTGCAAGATATGCATGCTTAAGTCCTCATTTTAGTACTGTGCTTCCATTTTGCAGTCTGGTGATTCCATTCCTACGTTTGGGCGAGTTTGTCACTGGTGGATCTCATTTTCCTTTGACATCTGATGCACTAAAGAAGGTCTTCACCGGTGAGGCTTCACGAGAAGTCCTGCTCAGCATTCTCCATGCGGTAAGTAAAGAAGTTTTCGCATCCAAGCATCTCGTCCTTCTTTTCTTTCAATCTTCTTGATTGTTAAACAAAAAATTGAGTTTGAGTCTTGTCTGGAACAGCTGGCTTCTTTATCCCATTTATACTACAGCCTGCATTATTAAGTACCTAAAGAAGAGGAAAGGCATATTTCAGTTGTCCGTTCTTTTTGCTCAATGGATAACCGTGTTGTTCTTTAAAGTTCTGTAATTCATAACTATCCATTTCGTTAATCAGTTATTCATGCATACTTATCAAAGGGTCAAAAGGGGAGCCTTGGAGCAACGGTAAAGTTGTCTCTTTGTGACCTATAGGTCACAGTTCGAGCCGTGAAAAAAGCAGCCACTTGCATTAAGGTAGGCTGTTTATATCACACCCTTGGAGTGCGGTCCTTCCCCGTACCTTGCGTGAACGCGGGATGCCTTATCCACCGGGATGCCCTTCTATTTTTTAAATCAATGGGTCACTTATACTTGTAATGTATGGATGTGTGAAATATGTGTTTATGACTATGACTGATTTTTAGCATTGGACTTTTGGACAACTTTTTGCAGCTGTTGGGGTGGCTTGTTGCTGTACCATTCATCCTAGCTGGACTTTATGTAGTGTTTTTGCCATGTTTTACGATCTTGGTTCGTAAGTTCAGTACCGGTCCTCCAAGCCCCAAGAGGCCCCTTATAGACGTCAAGGTTAAAGCTAGGGATGTATGATTTTTACATTGTACTAAATGTGTGAGTTTCTACTAATAATACTTGTAAATAGAACTTAAAAAGGGAGTCTGGTAGTTCTGTATGTATGTATTAAGTTCAACATTTCCCCATCTAAGTTCCTCAATTGCCAAAGTCTATTCACCTCCACTGTCATCTCTCTCTTCTCACACAAAAGAATTGTCATTGAATTCTGCTCTTTTAGTCCCTTTACTTGCAGATTTTACAAATTCAATGTGTTGTAGACTTCGAATGCATTTGTCTTGTAGAAATGACATCAGTTAGCAACTCTAAAGGGCTGCTATTTAGGAATTAGCCAGTGCGTCCTGAATTTCAGTTTTTCAGGACAAAAATATCCTAAATTGTCCTGAAGTTAAGATTTTTAGTCTAAATAGCATCCCCGAGTTTGTCTTTCATGTGTTGTCTTTCATGTGTTTTTGCGGGCAGTGTCTCTATGCCCTTCCAGGGTAGGGGTAACGATGCATACATCCTACCCCTCCAGACCCCACTTGTGGGATTACACTGAGTTGTTGTTGTTGTTTTTGCTGTTGTATGCGGGGCAGTGTATACTATTCTGGAAGAGTGAGTTCAGTTAGGAGGAACTACTACTGAAGGGACCAAAAATGCTTAATTTAAGGCAATCTTACGGAAATGTCCCAAATAAGTTCTAACTTATCAACCTCTAGCCATTAATCATAGACTTATCAAAACTAGCCAAGCACATACAAAAAAAATTAAAAAAACCCCAAATAAATTAATTAATTGATAGTTAAATATGTTAGGTAGGAGTCATGAATACCATATTGAAAATTGCCAGTTACCAGGAAATAGAAATACAATTTCTCCTCCTACTATTTTCGAACACAACGTTGATTATCGTTATGTTATACTGCAAAATAAGTAATAAACCAAAAAAAAAAAAGAATAAGTAATTTGGCATCAAAAGAGTATTAAAAAAGAAATATGTGGGAAATGCAATATGATGCAGAAATGCGGAACAAATTTTTTAACATTGGAAGTCAGACGAATATCTTTGCAATCAAGATTTTTTTATATTACCATTTAACTTTTTAAGAATTTTGTACTGATAGTACCATTAAACTCTTGAAGAAATTCTCAAGTTGAAGTCAATTTATGTCTTGAATTACTCAGGAATTGTAGTAGTTTAAGTGTTGACAAAATGAATTAGGGCGTTTTTGATATGGTATGAAGGGATCAAGAAAAAAAATGAAATTTTCCTCCAATAATGAAGTGATCAAAATATAAGTTACTCGCTATCAGATTAAATTACACCATTAAATCATAAGAAATCAAATGTTGAAACGGGAGTACATGGGTCGGGTTGGTTCAGATTTTTTAATTACCAAACCAAATCAAACCAACAAAGTCAGGTTTTTCAATCTCGTTTTTTTCTCGGGTTTTCCGTTTTCTCGGGTTTTCGTTGGTTTTGCGGTAAAATCTTCATAGCATAAAATATGTAACTTGTGCTCCAAATATTTTTTTGGTCCTAGTAAGAGATAACTATATAATATATTTTTCAAGAAAATAACACTTTAATATGAGATAAGTCATAGCATTATACTAAAATATTCAATAACAAAGATAGCAAAATTGCATAAAGAAAATATTGCTAATTAATAAATCATAATAAAAATTAACATAATCTAAAAATACTACTATATAAATCATGCTAAAATAAGTATAGCTAATAAATACTACTATTATTTACATAACTAAGCACTAAAGAAAAAGATAAACTAAGTTATGCATTTTCATTATAAACCAAAGTAAAACTAAAAAATAAATATCCAATATTATCGTCATTTCTAGTGTTGAATTGAATTTCTTTTGTTAGCATTAGTATTGTTTTAAACTTTGTTTGAGTTACTACATTTATGGGCTATAAAATTTATTTACCATTCAAGAATGTTAAGTCCAAACATGAAATAATACGCTAAAAGATAAAACTGTAAAAAAAATTAAGAAATATTTAAAAGTTACATTACAATAGATATTTCTATGTATAAAATATTTTTAAAAATTGTATAAATGAACTCTTGGGTTGGTTTGGTTTCAATTTGATTTTTTTAAGTTAAAACCAAACTAAATCAATTATGATCATTTTTTTTCCAATACCGAACCACAATCGATTTTTTTTCGATTTAGTTTGAATTTTCGATTTGATACGATTTATCGATTTTCTTTGTACACCCCTAGTTGAAACTTTAGTTGCCGATACAAAGTACTGGAGTAACTCATATTCGGACAAAGTTAAGTAAACAAAATTGTGAACTTATTAAAAGGCCATGAAAAGAAAGAACCAACTGTTAGAGAATAATACACGATGTGACATTTGGTTGAGAACTTCACCGATTGAGATGCTAAAACTCGACTTTGTATGTTTTGAAAAAAAAGGTTTTTAAAATAATCGTGTGACGATCCGGCCCGTCGTCTCATGTGTTATCGCCCCGTTTCCCCTATGTTATGCTTCTTCATGTTTCATTATCAGTATTTGATGTGTTAGAGTTGGTTTGGAATGGTTTTGATAAGAAATGAGACACTTAGTCTCTTTTAAGAAGGCTTAAGTTGGAAAAGTCAACCGGATGTCGACTTTTGTGTTAGAGGGCTCGGATTTGAATTCCGATGATTTGGTTAGCTTCGGGGGATGATTTGTGACTTAGGAGTGTGATCAAAAGTGATTTTAGAGGTCCAGAGTAGAATTAGGCTTGAATTGGCAAAGTTAAGATTTTGGCGAATTCCGGTCGATAGGTGAGATTTTGATCCGGGGGTCGGAATGGAATTGCGAGAGTTTCAGTAAGTTCGTTAGGTGATTTGGGATGTGTGTGCAAAATTTCAAGTCATTCGGAGGTGTTTTGGTTGGGTTTTGATCGAATGCCTGTTTCGGAAGTTTTGGAAGAACTTAGGCTTGAATTCGATGAAAAATGATGGTTTTAGCGTTGTTTGAGGTGTTTTGATGATTGGAGCAAGTTTGAATAATGTTTTAAGATGTGTTGGTACCTTTGGTTGAGGTCCCGGGGGCCTCGGGGTGATTTCGGATAGCTAACGGGGTGAAATTTGAGTTGAGGAATTTCAGGTTGCAGCTGATACCTGATATTTTCGCTTCTGCGGAAAATGGACCGCAGAAGCGGTTCCGCAGAAGCGTGAGGAGGGTCGCAAAAGCGGCTTATGGCCTGGTAGGGTAGTTTCGCAGAAGCGGAACCTTTTCCGCTTAAGCGAGTCTGCAGAAGCGGACAGGCGAACGCAGAAGCGATTTTTGTGCTGGAGAGTTAGTTCCGCAGAAGCGGACATTATGTCGCAGAAGCGGCCTTGGATTTTTNCAAATGAAATTCCGCAGAAGCGGTCTAGTAACCGCAGATGCGGTCTTGTCCGCACAAGCGGCTCCCCATCGCAAAAGCGGAAGTTGCAGATGCGACAAAGGCACCGCAGAAGCGGAAACAACTGGTCAGAAAGGGTTTTAATTCCCTTCGCGAAATATTTACAGAACACATATTTTGACTTCGGACTTGGGGTGTTCTTGAGCGATTTTGAAGAGGAAATTCAAGGACTTCGATCAGGTAAGCATTCTTGGACTTAGAACACAATTTTATCATGCAAATACATGAAATTTCACCGAAAACTCAAGGAATTAGGGTCAAAAATGATGGTTTAGGGCTTGAAACCTAAGAGAACAAAAATGGGAATTTGAGGGGTCATTTGGACTCCGATTCTGGTGTTCTTTATATGCATGGACTTGTGGCGAGATAAGGAATCCGATGATGTGAATTTTATAATTTTTCGAGAAGTGGGCCCGGGGCTCGGGTTTTGCCAACTTCGTGATTTTCGATGTTTTTCGAGTCTTTTCGATTGGGTTATATTCCCTTAGCATATTGTGACGTATTCGTTGTGGTTTTGGTCAGATTCGACGCGCGAAGAGGTGAATTCGAAAGGCAAGGGCATAGCAAGCTAGGACTTTGGCCGGCTTGAGGTTAGTAATAAATGCAAATGCTGTGTTGAGGGTTTGAAACCCCGAATTTGCACAATGTAGTGCTATGTGAGGTGACTTGCACGCCAGATAACGGGCGTGGGGTAGAGCACCGTCGGGGATTGTGACTTGGTCCGTCCCGCTTAATAAAATTACTACCTAATTGTTTGTAATTTTGTGATATCCTTATAAAAATGTATTAATTGTCATAATTGGGCATCGTACCAACTACTTAAATCCTTCAGGGATTATTTTTACTGGTTTCTTACCATATTTATAGATATTGAACTCAGTCCTGGTGTTTGACACTGTTTTGTAAACTCAGCCATTTTTCTTAAAGCAGAAACTAAATTAATATTTTTAAATAAAGTTTGGGCTGAATATTTTATACTATTATGCCGAAAGGCTTATGTGATTTTGGACTGATTATTGGATCGGGCTGCACGCCGCAATGGTATGATAATGATATTGATATGAGGCCAAGGGCCTGTTTGATGCCACGAGATGGCTTATTATTGCGCTTGGGCCGTAAGGGGCCCCTCCCGGAGTCTGCACACCCCCAGTGAGCGCCGTCGACGTTAAATAAATGGAGCGGGCTGCACGGCCGCAGCGGGGTACTGGACGTACCGGTTTATGTGTTGCATTGCATATTTAATTGTCATTTATTCTTATTCTGGTGTGACTTTATTATAATTATTTTTAATGTTTACTGTATTATGCTATTGGTTCACGTTGTTGTATTTATAGCTTTGCTTTGTGTTTATTTAGGATTTCTTATCCTCAGGCTTTATTTTTTTTTATTACTTTCTGAGTTGGAAGTACTCACAATACTCCCTGCACCTTGTGTGCAGATTCAGGTACACCGCAGGGTGAGTGAGGACTCGTGTTAGCTGAGCAGCATTATCCGGGAGTATCAAGGTAGCTGCATGGCGTTCGCAGCTCTGATCTCTCCCATCTACCTTTATTATTTTATTCGTAATTTTTCCTAGTCGGATTTGTAATAGGTGGATAATCTGTTTTAGAGGCTCATGTTCGTGACACCAGATTCGGTGGGTTTTTTTTAGTATTTTATTTTGGGGTTTTCGAATGTTAGAGATCTTATCAAAATTTCCGTACTAAATTGGTATTGTGGTAGCGAGCATTTAATTATTTACATAGGTTATTTGGCTAGGGTTGTGTAAATGGTCGGGCTTGCCTAGTAATGTGTTGGGCGCCATCACGACCGGGGTTTGGGTCGTGACAAATCGTTGATGAATATGTGCTGCTCACGAACGCAACTTTTATTTTATTGCAATTTGCAATAATTAACATATCCAAGAATTCGAACTAACAATAATTATATTGTTATATGCTATAAAGGCTGCCCAAACTTGACATGTAATGTTTATCTCAATCGAAGAACCATAACACCCTTATACAACCCCTTCATTCATATAAAAATTTTACTCCTAATAAAATTTACCACTAATTTATATCAGTTAAAAATAGTAAAGATAAATTTCCGTCTAATTTGCATGGAGAGATTAACATGTTTACTGTAATTAGACACATAAATTTTTTTTGGTTTCCCACTCGGTATTCGGTACTCGCATTAGAGTCCGACTAGATCCGGATTCGCGCCACGTAGGGCCTCATTCTGGAAAAAGCATTCCCTATCAAAGAATTTTTCATACCCAAGGCTCGAACCTAAGAACTCTGGTTAAGGGAAGAGCACCCCATCTGCTGCACCACATCCTTTGATGTTGTCTCTTTTTTTGATAAACATTGAGAAATATAACAAAGTTGCAATGACTCCAAGTTGGGCACGTGCTTGCACGAGCCTACCTCCGCCTAGTACATGCGCGCGAACGCACACATACATACACACACGACAAAAGACCTTAAGGATAAAGAGATACTTAGCACTGCACCACATTCTTTATGGGTGATCTTTCAAGTTTGAAAGAAAAACGTTAAGTAGCTTTAGGGGTCGTTTGATAGCCGGTTAGGGGAAAAGTTATTCATGTATTAGGGGTAACATAACTTATACCATGTTTGGTAGCCATTAGTTATTTTGTAAAAAATTCAGCATAACTAATACCATGTTTGGTTGGCATTTTACAATTCTACATAAATAATACATGTATAAGTTATGAGTCAATCTGTGTGTTATTTTATGCGGGGGAGAAGATGGAATAACTAATACATGTATTAGTAATACATGGATAAAATACTGAAATGACAAATTTACCCCTATCAATTTACCACAAATCATTGCCATTTTCTCCAGCAAACTTTTCATTGTTCGTTTTCTACCGCAAATAACAATCTTGTACTATGATATTTTTGAATTACTAAATAAAGTGTGTAACAATATAGCAAGAAATTCAACCAAAATCCAAGAAAGAATTATATACACTACAATTAGCATGACCTTTTTTTTGAATTTCACGTGCACTACTCAAGGACTAATCCTTGCATAACTAATGCATGCATAAGTAATCCCTGCATTACTTATTCTTGCATAACTAATACATACATAACTAATACCTGCATAAGTAATACATGTATAACTAATACCTGCATAACTTTACTAATTACTTATTCTTGCATAACTAATACATACATAACTAATACCTGCATAACTAATACCTGCATAACTTTAAGGTCTTCTGTCGTGCTTATCCTTTGATATTTTTTTAATATATGCAAATTGTAAAAAAGAGACAACACCAATAAAATAAATAGAATTCTAGTATCTACCTAGTACGTACATATATGGTATTTTAGATTTGGGTTCATACATAAACACTAATTATATATGTTGAATATTTTGGAAGCTTGTTATGTTTTGTCCTTAATTCCTTTTGGGGAAACCCCAACCCCAGAAGGCAAAATTCAAAAGGACAAGAACGAGTTATATGCCTCCCCAAACCCAGGAGAGGCAAAATTGGAAAGGACAAGAACGATTTATATGCATTAGCTGTTGTTACGATAATTAGTTTTATAATTTATTCTGTATCTTTTTATTCTTATATTCAAAGAGATTGTGCGCATAGATTTGATACAGTCAACTAAATACGGATTAGTATGATTTTTCCTTTTCCATCACGATCTCTACATATTAACTCAACGAAAATATTTCAAATTATTCTCACCAGTAATTATCTACCTATATCAATTTAGGTGCAATCAAAGTTACAGTTATATTGATCACAATCAATCTAGTATATATTTTTCCAGCTGATACTTCTCTTGACGAAAGAAACCAAACGTAATTATAAGGATGATGAAGTACTAATATCGTCTTAGGGTGTGTCTCATACGATGCAAGTCAGTTTCCTTTAAAATATTTTTCCGTAAAAAAAAAATATTTTCTAGTGTTTAGTTATCATAAAATATTTTCAAGAAAACATTTTATATCAAAATGTAGAACTATTTTGATATATATATATATATACTAGTCTTAGCGTACGCGCGTTGAACGTGTCCCTCGTGTTAATAAAAATAAATTTTTAAAATCAACATAAAAAATATTTAAAAAAATATATTTGCGTTATAACATAAAAATAAATAAAAATTTGCAAGTTTCATAATGATAAAATTAATCATATTAGGAGTTTTGATCCACTCTAGTGATTATTCGTTCAGTTTGTTCTTGTCTCTCGCGTCGCAGCACAAACTATTGGTGATGGACGTCGGTAGAAGAGGAAGAAGCGGGTTGCATGGGGTCGCTCGAGGATCAAGTGGGGAGCCTTGTCTAAGGATAAAGCACAGAAGTTGGAGGGGAAGCTGAGGGTTATGGTGGCCTGTAGGAGTAGTGGGGATGCGAGTGTTATGTGGTCGACGACGGCGAACTGCATTAGGGAGTGTGTGAGGGAGGTCTTAGGGGTCTCAAAGGGTTATTCTGGCGGGCACATAAGAGATTGGTGGTGGAATGAAGAGGTTCAAGGAAAAGTGGAAGCAAAGAAAGCGGCATACTTGAAGTTAGTGGAGAGTACATACGAGGAGGAGAAAAGAGCGAACAAAGTAGAGTATAAGAAGGCTAAGAAGGAGGCGAAGCTTGCGGTCACTAATGCTAAGATTGCAGCATTTAGTCATTTGTATGAAAAGATGGGGGACAAAGGCGGGGACAAGAAGTTTTTCGGTTGGTCAAGGCGAGAGAGAGAAATGCTCATGATCTGGATCAAATGAGGTGCATCAAATACGAGGAAGACAGAGTTTTAATGGATGAGGCTATGATTAAGAGGAGATGACAGACTTACTTTTCATAAACTTCCGAATGAAGAGGGGAACAGAGACATTGTGTTGGGTGATTTGGAGCACTCCGAGAGAAGCCGTAATTTTAGGTACTGTAGGCGCATTAAGGTTGAGGAGGTCGTGGGTGCTATGCGTAAGATGAACAGGGGCAGAGCGACTGGGCCGGACGAAATCGCGATTGAATTTTGGAGGTATGTCGGTAGAGAGGGCCTGAAGTGGCTGATTATTTTTAAGGCGAAGAAGATGCCAGAGGAATGGAGATGGAGTACGATGATTCCATTGTACAAGAACAAAGGTGATATCCAGAATTGTAACAACTATAGGGGTATCAAGCTTTTTAGTCATACTATGAAACTGTGTGAGAGGGTGGTGGAGGCGAGGGAGAGGAGGCCAGTGTCTATTTCTGAGAACCAATTCGGATTCATGCCGGGTCGTTCAACTACGGAAGCTATCCATCTTACGCGGAGGTTGGTGGAACAGTACAGGGATAGGAGGAAGGATTTGTACAGGGTGTTTATTGACCTAGAGAAAGCGTACGACAAGGTCCCAATGGAAGTTCTTTAGAGGTGTTTGGAGGTAAAAGGTGTTCCGGTAGCATACATTTGTGTGATTAAGGACATATTGACGGAGCCAAGACTCGGGTTAGGACAGTAGGAGGAGACTCGGAGCATTTTCCGGTGGTTATGGGGCTACACCAAGGATCTGCACTCAGCCCTTTCTTATTTGCACTGGCCATGGATGCTCTGACGCACCATATTCAAGGGGAAGTTCCATGGTGTATGTTATGCGCATGATATAGTTCTGATTGATGAGACGCGAGGAGGTGTTAATGAGAGGCTGGAGGTTTGGAGACAGACCCTTGAGTCTAAAGGTTTCAAGTTGAGCAGGACTGAGACTGAGTACTTGGAGTGCAAGTTCAGCAAAGTCACGGGAGTAACGGATATCGACGTGAGGCTTGATTCACATGTCATTCCTAAGAAAGGAAATTTTAAGTACCTTGGGTTGATTATCCAGGGGAATGGGTAGATTGATGAAGATGTCACGCACCGTATAAGGGCAGGTTGGATGAAATGGAGGTTAGCATCTGGCGTTTTGTATGACAAGAAGGTGCTCCCGGAACTTAAAGGCAGGTTCTACAGAGCGGTGGTTAGACTGACCATGTTGTATAGGGCAGAATGTTGGCCAGTCAAGATTGCCCATATACAGAAGATGAAAGTAGCAGAAATGAGGATGTTGAGATGGATGTGCGGGCACACGAGGTTGGATAAGATTAAGAATGAAGATATCCGGGCAAGGGTGGGCGTGGCTCCCATGGAAGACAAAATGCGGGAAGTGAGGCTTAGATGGTTCGGGCCCTTGCAGATAAGAAGCCTAGATGCCCCAGTTAGGAGGTGCGAGCTGTTGGCTCTCACGGGTATGAGAAGAGGTAGAGGGCGGCCAAAGAAGTATTGAGGAGATATGATCAGGCAGGACATTGGCGACTCCAGCTCACCGAGGACATGACCCTTGATAGGAAGGTATGGAGAGAGAGCATTAGGGTTGTACGTTAGTAGATAGTGAGCGTTTTTCTGCTCCGTTCTGTGTGTAAGTCTAGTCGGTCAGCTTCGTGTTTTAGTATGCTAGTGGTACATGTTATGTTCGTACTATTTTCTAGGACCTTGTCACTGCACGGATTATTGATATTGCTTTTGCAGGTATATTTTCTGATTCTTAGCTCGTTGGTACTATCTTCCTAGTTATGTTGTTGTTATTATTCTATTGTCGCTTTTCATCTTCTTGTGCCGAGGGTCTATCGGAAACAGCCTCTCTACCCCAGGGTAGAGGTTGTCAGACTTTAAGCCATTGGGCTTTAAAGTAGAAGAAGTGTGAATTGGAAATGGAGGGAAATTGAAAATTTGAAGAAGTGAACTTTTGTCTTGCACTTTGTCCCTCATTGGTGAGGGACAACCACATTTGTGTGCTTATATATAAAATCACTTCTTAAAGCTCTTAAAAGGAGTTGAAGAGAATGAACCCTCGCGCCGTCGTCGTCGCTCGCTCGGCTCGGCTTCGGCTTTGGATTTGGATTTGGATTTGGATTTGGATTTGGATTTGGATTTGTCAAATGATCGATCGATAAGATTATTTTTGGACAAAATTTATTTAATTATTTAATAATTAATTAAATGCCAAATCACTGCTGAAAATACGCCAGAACCCTGCTGAAGGTTCAGAGGGCCTCTCTGGCGGCGGTTCTGCCGCGACCGCGGTAGAACTGCGGCAGGCAGCGTATTCTTCTGAAAAGGCACCTTTTCCAGACACCTCTTCTGATAATTGCCTATAAATTCTGAGGCAAGGCTCCATTTTCAAAACACGAAAAACACTCCAGAACTTTTTTCTTTCTGAATATACTGCATCCTAATTCGCAGTCTCTCTCTCTCAAATTCGTAAGTGTGATTTTGCTCCGTTCTTTGAGTTCGTTGGTATCCTGCAGTTCGTATTGCCACTGTTGCAGGAAGATTTATTCCGTTTTATCCTGGGAGGATTTAATCCATTACCTTGGCAACGTGTGAGGGGGTTAAAATTCCTTAAGGACACACAAGCAAATTGTGGACTCGGAATATTTCTTAAACTCTTCTGTTTTTCCAGTTTCTTTTATTTTTCTAACAGTTTTTCTGATTTTGTGTTTTAACACAGTAACACTCACATCATTCACTCACTCGCTTAGAAAACCAATCAGGGAACTCTTTACTAACCCTCCTCTCTACCTCTGTTGGTGAAAGTCTTCGACCTCTACTTCTTCTAATGTGATGTCTAAATTCACTACAAAGGTATTATATGCATCAATTTTAATCCAATTACACTAAATGTTTTTTATAAATCAAATCAAATCAAATTTCTTACTCAATAAATGGCTTTACTGCTGCCCAATTAAGTAACACATATCGATGAGCTTGAGTTTTCTCCAAAAGAGTCAATGGTTCAGTTGTGGAGCCTCCAACGAGTTTACCTTGTTGAGGGAACATAGATGACAATTCGGAAGCCTCATTATGATTTGGTTCATCGTTTACACGTGTAGGTCGATTTAACCTTGACTCAATTCCCTCAAAATAACGAGAATAAAGAGTCAGAGCTTCTTCAACTATGTAACTTTCAGCTATAGAACCTTCTAGTTGTGATTTATTTCCTACAAGGGACTTGAAATGACCTAATAATCTATAGCCACAATAATAAAATGTTAGAAAAAGCATTTACATCGAAATACTATTACAAGATCTATTAAAATAATTTTGAATAAGAAATATTTTACCTTTCAACAAAATACATCCACCGATAATGTACCGGGCCACCTTGTATTACTTCATCCACTAGATGAACAGTTAGATGAACCATTACAGTAAAAAATGATGGAGGGAATAACATCTCTAGATGGCAAAGAGTTTCCACAATCCGATTTTGTAGCTTTTCTAGGTCTGAGAGGCTTAAGCTTTTCAGACAAAGATGCCTAAAAAAGGAGGAAAGCTCTACCAACGTTGCAACAACCTGGTTCGGAAGCACATTGCGGATTGCTATTGGTAACAATTGTTCCATAAGGATGTGACAATCATGACTTTTTAATCCAAAGATCCTTTTTTGATCCAAATAAATACAACGAGATATATTACTTGAATAACCATCTGGCACTGAGATATTCTTTAAAGTCTTTAGGAAGGCCAGTTTCTTCTCCTTTGGAATTGTAAATGCACCAAGCCGACATTCATCATTCTCATCCGGCCAAAGATCACGCCTAATACCCATATCTTGTAGATCTCTTCGAGCCTTAACATGATCCTTTGATTTTTCAATTAATACGCAATTTTGAATATTGTAAAACTATATTTTATTTGTATTTACAATTTTGTCCAGCTTAAAATGCTTTTACGATAGATAAAAAGAAAAAGAAAATTTCGCTAAGGGGCTTCGTGCTTTTAATATAGTTTAGAAAATATATAAAATATTGATATAAATATAAATATAGATATAACCGTAGCTATTGATAGATATGTAAATAAGAAAATTAAAAATAAACTAAATTTCATTATACATGCTTCCCAACCGTGATAATATCTTGACTTAACTTTCTATATCTATTAAGAAATTGGGAATAACATGTTTTCCATTTAGTAAATAAGATATGATGTTACTTAATTTAATCAAAATATAGCAGATAAAATATTATATTAAGAAAATAAACATGAATTTTCATGCTATTTTGGACAAAAATGTGTTCCTTTCCGTTTTAAAGTAATGTCCATCTTTCTTTTACTTGTCATCAAATAAACTCGTTAAATGTAATTTATTTTAAATTTGTTTTAGTCTTTAAGTTTCAAATTTATACGGCACTTGAGAAGAAGAGTGAAAAGTTCTACTATTTAGTAAGAGAACATTTAAGTCAAAAGCTTATTTTAGTATTTGAATTACAATTATTGGTTAAATATTTGGTGTTGAAGTAATAAATTATAAAAGGAAAGAAATTATATAACTAAAATCTTACTCGAATTCAACTTCTTAATTATATAAGTTTTTACATAGTTCAAATATGAAAAAATTTAATCAATAAACTTCAATTAATTTTTTAATCCTAAATATTAGGAAATAATTATGACCATTCCTAAATATTAGAGAAATAATTTAATTAATATTCCTAAATATTAGGTTATACAAAAAATTAAAAGATTATTTTGTCTTGTGTGAACTCTATTTTTGAAGAATAAAAAAGACGAACGACAATAACGCTATTCGTGTTTTTAATATAGTATTTAGATATAGATAGAGTAACAAAACGAGGAGAAAAAAAAAGAGTCAATTAGCGTGTGTTTGATACGAAGGAAAATATTTTCCTAGAAAATATTTCATGGAAAATGAGTGGTTTTATCACTTACTTTCCTTTGTTTGGTTGGCGAGTGGAAAAAATATTTCGAAAAATATTTTTTAATATTTGGTAAGAGAGTATAAAATATTTTTAGGAAAATACTTTTTTTACATCATGAAAAAAAAGTGCTTGTGTTTGTTGAAATGAAAGAAAATACTTTTTTTTTTAAATATTCGTTTTGTTGAATGATAGAGGTGGGTGGTTGTGGTGGGGGTAGAGGGTTGGGGAGGTAGGGGTGGTGGTTTGGGGTGGCGTGGGTGTTGGTGGGGATGAGGAATGGGGTGGAGAAGGTTGAAAAAGAATTTTGAAAAATATTTTTTCCTTCAATTGGAGGAAAATAAGTTCATGAATAAAATATTTTCTAAAATATCTAAGCCAACTAAATAAGAAAAAATTAGACAACATCAGAAAAATATTTTTTTCGTAGCAAACACACCCTTAGTGATCAATCATTTTTGTTTGAGAGAAGCAAGTTATTGGAAAATTATAGGAAAGTGCTATTCCGCTACTTTTCTTGAGAGGTATCATTTATAGCTTCATTGGCAAAAATTATTTTATTCGAAAATATTTATCTAAATGTGAAATACTTTTGAAGGTTTGAGCAAGTGATATTCTCTGCTGGATATAAATGGGAAGAAAATACAGCAAATTTATAACTGGTAATTGAAAAATA